TCACATCCCAAAAGCAGGATTTTCTGAGTCACGAAAGCTATGCTATCCCACCATGACCAAGCCATGGAGATGGCACCAACTAGGAGCCCCTGGACCCTTTGGGTAAGGTTCTGAGGTAGGAGCCCAGTGCACCCTCTACACATCAGTTGTGAGTTCTTTGCCCTCTGCCCAGGTAAGGTTAACCCATGCACCTCTTTACAGAGCTATCTTGGCATCCAGGAAGTCCACCGGGGTAGTATTTGATACTCAAAAAGAAATTGTCCTTGTATGATTCATCCCAAAAAGCGAACACACCAAGGATAATTTCTCTTCAAGTATGAAACAGTAGCATGGCACACGAGCATCCATAGGCCTCCTGGGAGTGAGCACCGCTCCTAGCACTTGGCTGCACACAACACACACGTGCATCATGCATGTGCTGCTCATGGCTCCTCAGGGAGGTGAGATGCCATGGAACCCACTCTCCATTCAGCCTGGCATCCTCACACAAGAGTCTTCTAAGGGTAATGGTGGCTGGGGTCAAGAATCCAGGCACTGCCATCCTAAGTGAAGCAAGCATTCTGGTGGCCCCGCTGACCCCACTGCATGGGGTATCCTGTTCAGAAGCCGCTGCTGGAATGCTGTCACTACTGAGCAGCACAGGCTTCATCGGTCTCATCGGAAGTCCAGCACAAACTCTAAGCTCCAACACCCACTCATGTACCTGACAGAGAACTTCTGTCTCAACATTGACTCCCACATCCAAGGAGCGGTTTTGATAATACCACCACAGCAGCCACTAGTCAGCTCCTGGCGCACCAGAGTTTTGGCTAGCACAGAAGAAGCGATGAGCCTAGGCTCTACGCTTAGCCTTATGAGAGCCTGATCTCTCCCAGCCCCAGCAGCCATAGGCAGCAGACCCCAACGCGACTCCCATGTGACACATGAGACAACGAGCATAGCACGACGACATCCTTGTCCAAGGATGTGCGCTGGAAGTGTCAGAAGCAGGATCCAGGCGCAGGAAGCCAGGCTGCAGAGTCTGCGCACTTGATACTGAAAAAGTGGATGACCCTGTACGATTCGACATGAGTGAAACGAAGAGGACAGGGATAACCACTCTCCAAGTACCAAAGGTTGGCCTGGAAAGGAAGGCCACTGCCTTGGGTGGACTTGCTATGTCTTCCAGGTGGGGTCCTGGGGATGAATTAGATGCTGAGGGTTAGCGGACCACGGCACACACACCGAGCAAGAACATGCACACTCAAGTACCACATCACAACAGAACACCAAAAACAAGTGAACGAATGAACAAACAAACCAAAAAAACCAAAAACCAAACCAAAACTAAAACCATGGCCCACACCAGCACAAATCTGACCATCAGCCTGGGCTGGGGACTGCCCACCTGGGAAGCAGGGACCCAGGCTACACACACAGTGCATGCTTTGGAACCCACCCATACAGAACAAGGAGAGGGGATGTTCCCAAGGTCTTTCCTGAAGTCATCTTGCAACCATAAAGCCATCAGTGCCAAATGGAGAACCCAGGAAGCAGTTTGTCACACACAAGATGGATACACACTGTCATGCACACACATACCACATCCCTCGCTGAGTGTGGACGGGATCCAAGATAAGGTTTGATACTCACAGAGAGCTTGCCCTTGTATATTCCATGTCAATAAACCGAATATACAAAGGGCAACCTCGCTTTAAGTACCAAACAATAGCATAAGGCAGGTTCCGCTCTAGCAGGGTCAGCCTCGTCGCCCGGGACTTAGCCTGGGGAGGGATGGGAGATTCACAATCAGCCGACCAGGTGGCAAACACCACCTGCCAGATGTGTGCCCACTGGTCAGCTCTCCATCCAAGGAGCTTGGGCTGGGATATAAGAGGGACCTTTCCTGGCTCTCTCAGGAAATACAGAACTCAGTTTCTTGCTTTCTGAGGGAAGATCTGGCTAGGAACAGTCTTTTTCTTAGCGATGGACCCTTAGTATCCTTACTCTAAGATGTCCACCCATTGGTATACCGCACACAGAAGGCAGGAGGACCTAATGAATTTATGGAAGAGATAGGCCAGGGTCCTTCCTGTCTCCCTAAGAGTTATGGATATCAGTGTCACTCCTAGGACCAGACATTGTCCCCCTAACTCTGCCAGATGCTGGTATGGGACAAGACTAGGAGAAAGTCAATATTACACAGGAGTAAAATTCCACATGCCACTGAGTGATGGAGGGAGCCATCTTTCCTCTTTGGGACCTTTTCCCCAGAGAAGAACAGGTCATGGCTGCCACGGATGAGCAGTGGGTCATGGCCAGGAGAAACACTCACTTTTCTTGGACAAGCTGGTCTGCTTCCTTGGATGGGGGGCTGTTCCAAATGCTTCTTCTGATAGGTCCAGCCACAGAAGACCGCTAGATAGGCAGCAGGTGACTACAAACTTCAGTCTCTTCCCAAAGACAGACACCACATCCAGGAAGTCCCCAATGGGAGATTGGTGGATCAGGCCTGAAACCATTATAAATAAAAGTGGGTGCCTGTGACACTCCATCACGTGTATCATTGTTGGGACAGTCCAACATCACAGTTTCCCTTCTAAGGTTAATGCTGTGGGCAGGAAGGCTCTGGAGATGACTTGGTATAGACAGACAGCAGGTCTGTGTGCCACTGTCCTTTAAAGAGAAAGCCACAGTTGGGCCATTATACTCAACGCACATGCAATAGGCATAACCGCCCCCTCCCCCACCCTGCCAGCATGGCACACCTGAGGGTATCCTCTAGAGAAAAAGAATCATGTGCCAAGGGAACAAGGATGACCTAAGATTAGCCGCTCAGCCATAATCCCCATCCTAGAACCAAGAAATGGAACGTACCTGAGAGGGTCTAAATGACACTGGGGCTAGAGGCCTGCCCCAAAGATGGAGCAGGGCTGGAGTGCTTCCCAGATGGAGCTCGATATGAAAAGAAGTGGCTCTCTCTGCATATTCACCATCAATAAAATGAATGTACAGAGGCTATCCTCTCTTCAGGTACCAGAGATCAGGGCAGGAAGAGTGAGGACTGGGCCAGGGAACAGCAGAGTGGCTGACTCCACCTCAGGCCTTGAGCCGAGCACAGGGGCTGCGGAAGCAAGCCTCAGTTGATCAGCTCTGGCATGGGCCCTGCACTCTGCACACTGGGACCCAGCCCTGAAGCTGGTTTACTCCTTCCTCAGCATCACTCCAAGACAGGATGATCTTCCAAAAGACAGGGAAATCCTGCGGAACTTGACAGAAAGCAATGGAGAATGATTGGCGTTCCTTTAGAGCCTGCAAAGCCACCCTGGGAAGAAAACCTCCATCTGTGCCCACAGCCGCAGCCTCCAGGAAGTCTTCCAGATGGTCATAGAAAGAGCAGGATTAGAACGCACAGCAACATGCATCATTCAAGAAAGAAGAAAAACCAGGAAACCAATTTGAAGAGCCTCCGCCCGCCTCCCAAACCAGAATAGTGCTGAGACCACCGTCTCTTTTGCTGGTGCTGGTGAGTTCAGAAACCCAGAGGAACAGTGAGCCCCCACTCTAAACATCCACCCAGTGCAAGGCTCACCAAAGGGAAATGAGACGCCTCCCCCACCCCCCGTACCAACTCTGTCTAACTAAATTATTAGTAACCCATGCTATGAGACTATAGGCCGAGCAGACACCTAGGGAGGGAGGTTTCACAGTCTTGGTGACCTCTGAGGCCATCTTTACTTTGGATAGCCACCAACCCCCTTCCCTTAATTGGACAGGAAGCCCTAAAGGTGATTTTAAGGATGAGTTGGCTATGGAGAGTGGATAGGGCATATGACCCACATCTAAATAGGCACTGGATTGCTGTTGACACTCTTATGGCACTGAACAAGGGGCTGATATGTACATCACACTGGGAAGAATGGTCAGAAGCAGAAGCAGTTTTCTAGATAAATTCAGCTCTGCCAAGAAAAGCCTGTATGATCTCCCCAGTCGGGTTCTTCTCAAGAAAGTTCTCAGAAACATGCACGAGATCCGGAGAGTCAGATGTAGGAAGAGTCCATGCACAGTGGCCCACCATGCACTTACTCACCCTGGAGTGACCACGTCCTTCTGCTAGGCCCAGGCCGCCAGCCTTGCTTCCAGGCAGCATTTGCTCCTCGAAGAGAGCTTGCCCTTGCATATTCATTTCGCGTAAAGCAAACACACAAAGGATAACCTCTCTTCAAGTAGCAAACGATAAGGAGCGCTGGTCCGGGGGCGATGGTCCGGGGGCGACGGTAGGTGTGATGATAGTCCAGCAGTGATCCTGGGATGGACAAATTTGGAGTTTAGTACTTGCAGATGACACAGGTCCCTTTTCCCCACACCCCCAAAGGGTTACTCCCAAGGTGCCCCTTACCCAAAATGATGACCCACCCAGGTGTTCTCCAAGATATATTGGCTATGGAAAAAGAAGTCAGTTCCAGAAAACACATTCTAAACATGGTGATCACACAGAGAAACAACTTTGTTTGAGGTCAGAGAAGAGATACTAAGAGCACAGTGGCCTCCAAATACATCATGGTGAGCAGCGAACACAGAGGCACACATCACACAAAGCACACATCTATCTATCTATTTATCCCGGATGAACCCCGGAGGGAGACGGTTAGCATGCTTTCTTCTGCGACGGCGTTGTGTCCTCGATGGTTTCCCAAGCAGCATTTGATACTGAAAACGTGGATTTTCCTCTACGATTAGTCATTAATATTGTACTCATAGAAGGAGAATCTACCTTTTAAATATCAAAGAACGATTCGATCCAGGAAGCTTCAGACTTGCGCTTGCGTCGATAGAAACGGAAGTCCCATTGGGCAGGCAGGCTGCCCCAAGACACAGTACATCAGACCCACATCACATTATCAGTTGGCTTCTTGGGACCATTCGTGGTCACACCCCATACTTGATGATTCCCCCCCCCCCCCAAGCCCCACCGCCCCAGACCCTACAGAATCTTCCAGAAATAGTTCCATAGTGACATTTGATACTGAAAAAGTGGATGTTCCTCTATGATTATCCAGGAAGCACGTAACCATAGAAGGAATATCCACCTTTTAAATACCAAAGAAATGCTGAGTTCCGGGAAGGACCAGCTGTGGTGCATGGCTTCTCTGAAACAGATCACAAGACAGAAAGACTCTCATTCCCACGCCCAGACATCACTGTAGTGAGGCAACATCGCCTCTTTGTCAGGCTGGCTCCACAGGCAAGGAGACCCTTAAAGGTGATGGTCAGCAGACATATGATATGAGAAACACACATGGTCTGCAGTCCACCACCTTCCCACTTACCCAGAGGGTGCTGAGCCCAGCCTTGTTTCCCTGGTGGATCATGGCTCCCAAGAGGCATGTGAGACTGAAAACATGGATGTCCCTCTCTGACTAACCAGCAAGCACACAACCACAAAAGGAAAATCTACCTTTTACATACCAAACAGGGCTTACTCTTGGAAAGCGCGACCTAAGAACAACCTATCTGAAGCAAAGGGGATACTATGGGAAAGACTGATTTGCTGTCATAGAGTCCAGAATGAGACCCCCAACCTCTGACTGAGCCAGCAGCTCATCAGAGATTATCTTCAAGATTGGTCAATGGCCCTCAGGCACCTACAAGTCTGGCGCATGCTCTGTGGATCGCCAGCTTCCCACTTACCCTGGAGGGGGCAACTGTACTGTCACTGCCCTGATGGTGGCTTCAGTTCAGGCCCATTTCCCAGCAGCATTTGACACTGAAAACGTGAAATTTCCTCTATGTTTAATCATAAATACCATAAACATAGAAGGAATATCCACCTTTTAAATACCAAAAGGGTTTAGTCCTGAAGAGCAAGAGCCTAGGCCCAATCCGTCAGAAATGAAGAAGACAGCTGACAGGCGCCCTCGGCACAGCCCACAGAGGACAGATTCCAGGACCAACCTTGCTGTGGAAAGCACAGGTTGTGGGATCCATCTCTCCCTCGATCCCTGGGTGGGGGAAGAGGAGATAACTCGCTTTTTCCCTGGGCCATTTTGCATTCAGAAACATTCCAGGGCAACTTGAGATACTGAAAATGTGGGTGTTACCTCTATGATTAACCTGAGGCATAGAAGGAACACTCACCTTTTGAATATCAGAAGCTGAACAGCTCTGGAGAACCCTGGCCTAGATGACTACATTAACAACAGAAGAGAATCTGGACTCCTAGTGCCTGCCTCATAGCTAAATATATCACCTGGTTGTCACAAGCCCCAGCAGAGAGTCACTCTAAGTACCCCTCCCCGAGAGATCATGACAAGGGGTTTCTCCCCTCATGACTCCCAAAGACAGTTCTTCTTCCATATATAGCCCATCTTGGGCATCCATGGCAAAGGTCCCAGCAAAGTGTCTGCTGGAGCATCCATGCACATGCCATGGAACACTGAAGACATCAAGGAAGTTTTCGGGAAGCGGGACGAGTCCAGGAGGCTCCAACATGCAGGTCCAGCACATCAGTGTGACAGACTGTTAGAAGCAGACACGAAGGATATCTTCATGTTCATGACTCACTATTACCACATTATCAAGTCCTTTCAACATTAGCTCAACTTCCTGGAAAATCTTTTCTGAGTAGATCAGACACAGAGGCATGCCAACATAGACACTGATAAAAAAAAAATGCCTCCACAAAGCAAACAGGAAGCACTGAGAACCCCAACTCAGCCAGTCACCTCCAGAACCTTCCTCAACATAGCCTCAATGCTAAGAACAAATGGACCAGGTGACATTCCCCACACATACATGTATTCATGTATACAAAATGTATTCTATGACCAGCCCTCCAATATCTGTCCAAAGAACTGGCCTCAAATTTTGGCCAGTTGAAAACAGTTGCTGCTCACAAAAGTAAAGAGGTCATGGGTTCCCCAAAGATGGGTCACCAAAGGCAAGAGGGACAGACAATGCCTGATAGTTACCAAGAGCCAAGACCCTTCCCGTGAATCTGCAGCTTGCTATAGAAGAAAACACGATTCCTTCAAGCTATTCACATGGACAAGTGCCCTTCACTTACCAGCGGACCAAAGCTGCTTCCCTGCTTCCCTGCATGGTACTCCTTCATGAAGTCACGAGGCCCTAAGAAGAAGCAAGAGAGTTGGTTAGGGGGACTGACGGTTGGTTACTGGAGCAAATGTATTCATCTCTCCTGACCCCAGGAGCAGTGGCTGTCAGCATAGCTATGTGTGAACTTAGGGTGCTCTTGAGGAACAATTTCCAGTTAGGTTTAGGTTCATTTGTGTATATATGCATGTGCACATGTGTTTTTGTGAGTGTGCTTGCTGTGTGTGTGTGTGTGTGTGTGTGTGTGGAGAGGTCAGAGATCAATGTCTGGTGTCTTGTATAGTTACTTTCCACCTTTTTTTTTTTTTTAGAAAGTGTGTGTGTGTGTGTGTGTGTGTGTGTGTGTGTGTGCGCGCGCTGCACAGATGTGCATCTCTCTATCTGTCAGTCTGTCAGTCTGTGTGTGTGTATGTGGGTGACCAAGCAGGCTTGAAGAATGCATCAGATTCCCTGGAGCTGGAGTGGCAGGCAGTTGTGAGTCAGCCAACATTGGTGCTGAGAACTGAGCTCTGATCCTCTGCAAGAGTAACAAAGACTCTTGAGTTGCTTATGGAATCACACACCTCTGATGCCAGAATTTGGAAAGCAGAGGCAGGAGCATCAGAAGTTCAAAGATAGCCTCAGCTACACAGTAAATTCAAGGCTATCCTGGACTACATGGAGAACTTACTGTAAAACAAACAAACAAACAAACAAACAAAAAAACCAACCCCCCCCAAAAAAAACAAAATAAAAAACCAGAGTTATTGAAAAAAAGTTATGTTAAATGAGTTATACAATAAATATCAGTACAAATGTCACATATTCATAAAAATTCCCACCTTCATCGTGTGCTCATTGCTGTGTTTTTCAGTATATATTTGTGCTTGTCTATTTGTTCAGATCTTTGGGAACCTAGGAAGCACAAAGTAGATACTTTACAATTCTGAAAAGCATGCGAGGCATGATTTTGCTCCCATTTGTCAATCAATTAAAAAGGAAGTAATGTGATAGAAACTAGATTTTTATGTACAGATTTGCCTTGGGAAATTAGATTATAGGATGATTCATTCAATAAACTCTCAAGTCTCAAAATAAGAAAATAAATAAACACAAACCCTTGCCATCTGGCCAGCCACCTGCTCACATCCCATCAGCAAGGGGCTGATCATATTCCTGAGCTTGACACTGGGTGCAGAAAGATCATCAAGAAAAGATTTTGTGCTTGAAAGAGGTCAACGTTTAAGATCTTCCATGAACAAACACCTTGAGGTGGACGCCATCCCTTGGGGCCTCTCCCGGGCCAGCTGCCGCAGTCCTGTCCAGGCATCTCCTGTGAAAGAGACAGGGGGTGAGATTTGTGCCCAGAGAACATTCTACTCTCAAGGCTCCCTCTGGGCCTACACGTACCTTGGCTGGAGGGATGAATGACAGCGTCCAAAGGTCTGCCAGTAGAGTACAAGGCTGGCTGTGAAAGGGACTCAGCAAGTCAGGTTACCTTAGGTGCCAAACAGAGGCACTGCCGGGCAAGTCTCCTCTGCATTCTTTGGGTGCATCCAAGTCAGACCCCTCTCCAGAAGCACGTGGGCCTAGGGGCCTTGGGCTGGGTGGCAGGTGTCACACATATAATGTATGGCGTGCTCACTGCTCCACCAGCACCGAGGCCAGTACCCACTAGGTGGAAAGGGACTTTCAATCTAGGAAAATGGGCTGACCATGCCTGTCCCTTGCCCTGTAGCCTTTCTCCATGGACATAAAGGGAGAGTTGTTGCTTTTCCAAAGGTGTTTCTATCCTTTGAAGTCAGGACAGAGCCCAAAGGACAGTTAGGGCCATAGCAGGTTGAAAAGGCATTACTGAGCCAGTATGACCCAAGAGCTAAGTGTGTGGCTGATATAGTGATATCTCTGTGATGAAGTCAGTGCTGGGTTTTGATGATGAATTATGACAGCGGCTATATATAAGTGTACCCAAAGCTTTGGTTATAAATTAAGTAAAGCAACAGGAATGGATTGTACGTTAGCAAAGTGTGGCCCAAGAGTGATCCCACAACCCCTACTCCTGCTGACACAGCTTCAAGAACCGCCCTCCACCCCAGGGGAGGTGGGTGGATGAGGTGTTCACACACAAACTCTCTGGATAGTATCCCTTCCCCCACTCACATAAGAGAGCCGCCAAGGGTCCGCACCCAAACAGCCACGCTCAAAGGCAAATTTGATACCAGGAGGAGAGACTACTAGAGAGCATTAGCCGTAAAGAAGATGAATCCACTGGGAAAAAGCTGTCTTCGAGAGAGCCTCACACCTGCTCCAGAGGACAGCTCACGGGGGGACTAACGTCGGGGACCAGAGACAGACAGCAGTGGCTGATGACGGCTTGCTGTTCCCTGGTCCCGATCATAGCCAGCACCCACAGTCCTCAAGGCCTTGCTGATGGTATCCAAGACCACAGCCCGTGGAGACAGGACAGGAAGCGGGAACAGGGCTGTGCTGGGGGCCCAGTCTCTTCTAGAGTTACAGTGTGTGTGCGACACTCAACAGGTGACAGGTCTCGGTGTACACACCTGAAGCTGACACCTAGGCACTTGTCAACTCGGGAGGGAGTTGGTGGCTGACTTGTACTGGTTGTTGGGTTATGTTGGGTCTGTCCTTGGATTTGTTTGATCATTTTTCTGAGCTTCCCTTATCTGAACTCCGTCCCATGAGAGAGTCTAGAGGTGTGCTTCCTGGCTTCCCTTACCAACTCTGCCTGTCCCAGGAGGGGGGCAGACAGACACCAAGTGTCTCTGAACCCAGCAACACACAGAGCCAACAGGGTGAGGGTGGGGGTAGGGGTGGCAGTGGGGTGTGTTTCTTTGGGGCGAATGCTCCCGTGCGCATGGAGAAAAGTACTAAGTGAGCCTAGGAGCCCTCGCCCCTCCCACTGGTCCCTGGGGAGCTCCAAGGTGACATTTGATATCGAAAAAGAAGTGCACCATGTTTGTTTCGTCACAAATAAAAGCGAAAATAACACGGGCAACTTCTTTTCAGGTACCACAGATGAGCTCTGGCTTGCTCCAGCAGTGTGCCTGGGTGTGAAGGGATGCTGAGGGGCAGGCAGGAGGGGTGGTAGGTAAGGCTAGATTGGGGCAGGGTGAGGTGGGTCCCGAGCACAGGCAGATGGCACAGTGCTCATCATGCCCAGAGCAATCCAACCCAGATCCCCTCTACCTTAGGATCCCAGGAAGTCTCGGTGGGTAGAATTTGATCATCAAGGTTGAGGGTTCTGGAATGCTGCCTTCTACCCTTGTCAGTGTCCCTGGAGAGTGTCACTCAGGGGCAATGGGAGGGTGCCCAACTCCAAGACAGACTCTCTTTCCTGAGTTCCACGGTCCCTTTCTAGAGTTGAGGAAGAAAGGACACAGGACTGGGTGACGACGTCCAGGGCAGCATACACCAGCTGCGCTTGCCTGTTGCAGTTCGGATTCCTGGGTCTCCCCACTAAGATGCCCTCCTCTCTGGTCGCCCTGCAGGCAAGCTGGCCCTGTACAGCAGTGACTTGTGACTTGACAAACATGGCAAGCACCTTACGGAGAACTCCGAAGCCCAGGGATGAGGTAGGAACGGCAGAGTGCAGGATTCTGAGGGTGAGAAGTCTGGGAAGGTAAAGCCTGTCCATCATCCTGCTGGTCTCCTGAAGAGGATACGTGATCCTTCCCTGAAAACAAAACACATTAGTGCATCTTAGTGTCATTGCAAAGTTAAAGCACTAAGACAATAATATACCTGAAGTACAGCCAAGAATTCCACAAAAGAAAGTGACCTTGTACCACCAACCTACCTTATACAGGACAATAGGGATAGCCAAGCAAAGAGAATGTATCATCCAAAGAGTGCCAGTTACACTCATTGGTAACTCAACGAAGAGTCACTCATTTCTCTCACAAAAGGTAAAATTCAAGGCAACTTACACAAAAAGGAGGTGTCCAGGCTCATACAACTTAAAGGTATAGAGACATGTTGAGTTTTGATGCAGGTCCCAGGTTGAACTCTGTTACCCAGATGTTTCTTGGCTCCTTTCTGCCTCTCCAATCTGTCCCCTGGGATATAGGCCTTTCCCTCTGCATCTACAGAGCCCTGGGTAATGACCTCTTGGATTCTAGCTTGCTTTCAAGCTCACATTCATTACCACATCAAGTGGCTGAAGGGAACATGGAGGGTCCTCGGGCATCTCTCACAGAAATGAAGAACTACTCCCTCTCCCAGAAGCCTTAACAAACACCTCCTTGTATCTCATCAGCCCTGTGGGCTAAGGTCTCATCTCTCAATCAATAGCAGCTGAAAGGAAAGGAATCAACAGATTCCTTTAAAGCTGAGCTACAGAGGAGGTGGGAGGGTCCAATCAACCCTAACCCATTCTTGCTAAGAAAGCTCAGGAAACCGTTCAAGAAGGGAGATAAACCCTCAACCCAGCCCCACTACATAGACTAACATGGCTTCCCTGAAGTTAGCGGTTGAACCCCGAAGTCTTCAACGTAGAATAGGATGCTGAAAAAGAAGTGCACCGCGAATGTTTCGTCACATATAAAGCGAAAAAAACACGGGCAACTTCTCATTAAGCACCGTATGTCAGCAGCATGGAACCCTGCAGTTTGCGCACTGTTTGCCGTCACTTCCTGTGCGTGAGCAGGCGATCACGCTGCAGCCCCGCTGTACCTAGGGGGCTCTCACAGCTGTGCCCGCTCCACGCAGGCAGAATGGGCATCTTGTAGGCTGGCTTTGGCTTAGTCATCATTTGGGGGTTCTTTGGAGTCTCCTCAAATATTGGAGAAAGTTGATACAATATTGACTTGGCTCCCAAAGTCCGGCTGTGGATCCGTGGATAAGCCTGGAGGAGCATCCCATGGCCTCCCAGTTAAGGTCACCACCTGCCCACTAGAGAAGTGGATAGCAACCTGTGTACCATGGTGGAGCCCCAAGCCAAGGAAGTCTTCATGAGATGGGAACCAAAAAGGTATCTGTGCCTTTGTCAGAACCAGGCAATGTTTCCTGGACAAAACTATATGTAAATAACATGGTCTTTCAGAGAACAGATTACATTGAGCCTTAGCTTCCCCAGGGGGAATGGAAATGGAACACTGATCTACGAAAGAACATGAATAAAGCTAGACTTCTTGGGTGTGCCAGGTAGATGGTTGCCCATGCCTGCACACATACCCACCATGACCTCATGGGTGCAGGGCACCTCCCCACCCTTCATTGGCTTGGCCCATGAAACATGAGCTGAAACACAACAGTCCCAGTCTCAGTCTGATGGTTCTTACTTACTTTTTGTGTCTCTGCCATGGTCGTGAGAACCGCTTGCTAGGAGCTGGGGGGAGGGGCCAAGGAAGCCACCTTCACCCCCAGGGTAGGATGCATCAGGAATTGCTCCTAGGTATGGAAGGCATACTCAGCATTAGTAGAGCAGGACACACATGTAAATAAAATAAATGCTTTCAGACAAAACACTTTGTCATACATACCTTTTCCACCGATGGTGACTCCATTGTCCTTTCCCTAGGAAGATGTCACATCTGGAAGACATTTCCAAGGCAGGAACTTGTGTTGGGAAGCAGCCAATGGGTTTAATCCTCAAAAGACAAGCAAAATTGAACAACAGACATGGCGATGAGCAGAGACAAAGTTATTGACAGATGTGGGCTTGATGTTGGGCTAAAGTACCCATCACTCACCAGGAGTACTGTGGGTACCAATAACCATGCTTGGGTTATAGCTACCCAATCAGGAGGTCCTCCAGGATGGAGTTCTTCACTGTAAAGATATGGACCATAAAATACCAGTCACACCCATGGTAAGCTTACCACATGGCTTTTCTTCAAGTACCATACAGCAGGGTTGGCATTGGGTTCATAGCTCCTGGCTCACACATACCACCCCTGGCCCACCCAAGGATTCAGTGAATCCATACCAGGTACCACACACATCCTACATTAGCATAGATTAGGGTGGGTCTCCCTGTGGGTACTGATATCAAACAACCCTTCTCGTCATCTATCTGTGGTCAGCCTTGCAGCTCCCTATGGCATGATCTGACATTATTGATTAAAAAGTGGGAGGAAGAGGAGTTGGGGAAGAGATGGCTCTTGCCACACAAGCATGAGGACCTGGGTTAAATGTAAAAAGGCCAGGTGTGTACACACCTGCAATCCCAGAACCAGAGCGGTAGAGATAAGCACAAGCTCACTGGCCAGCCAGTCAATCGGAGACCTCTAGTTTCAGCAAGAGACCCTGTATCAAAAAATAAGGGGGACAATGATTCTGGAAGACATCTGACATTGACCTCTAGCCTGCACACACACCTACACATACATACCTGTGCATGCACACACACACACACACACACACACACATACCATGTGAACACGTACTTACATGGACACACACAAGCAAAACAAGAATTCCCTTAAAAGGTAACCCCACTTGAAATACTTTAGATTCACACTGGCCTCAAGCCCACCCATATCTTCTTTACAGCTGCCATGTGCACCAAGGTGTCATCCCAGATGGTCTGGGTACTGGCGGATAGTGAAACAGGTGACCTACATCATAAATGAAGTGTACGTCACCGGTCTACCACCCTCACAGCTACCCTGAAAGCAGAGGGCACTATCGGCCCTTCAGTCACGTTGCTGGAGTGTCCTACAGCTACTTTGAGGAGGACCTTCTGAAAAGCTACCACACACCAAGAGTCATCACACAGTCCAAAGCCACAGGGGGCAGCCTCCCACCACCTCAGGGACCCTGGCCTTTCTTCAAACTTGACTTCCCCTCCCAGGCCGAGTCCTGAGGCCATACCCCCATGTCCCACAGTCCAGAGTACAGCAGTCAAGGTCCCTTCCCTGAAGGCTTCATCAGGGACAGGAAGTACCTCCAGGGTGGGATTTGATACTAAAAAAGAGGTTTCCCGTGTATGTTTCATCATAAATAAAGAGAAGACAACACGGACTACCTCTCCTTCAAGTATCAATTAGCACTGGTCAGAAAGCAAACAAAGGCAAACAAAAATGGAACTGTCGAGTCTTCATGGATGCAAGGCACCAGATGTCATGAGTCTTGGTAGGAGGGTCTGCCTTAAGTATCTGGTTCAGTGGTCCCTGGAGAGCAACCAAAAACCCTTTAAAATTTGATAGTCAGCAGAATTGCCTGAGAATATATCCCACCAACACAGACCATTTGCACTCCATTTCTCTCCAGGTTTAAGGGTTTGCAGAAGGGAACCAGAGCCTCCAGAAATTGTGCAGGCCTCAGGAGATAACCAGGGAAATGCAGCCTTCATCTAAAAAAAAGCAGTCCATCAGGGGTGTTCCAGAATGATCCTCAGATTCTGGGTCCAAGAGGCAAGTGGGTGGTCTGAAGTAAGCTAGCCCCCAGGTCCTATGTAGATGCTGGCTCTGAGTCTGGGCAGTATCCAGGGAGGGTAAGATCTGAAAACAAACACATTATGGAGTGAGGGGAAAGGAAGTGAGCTTCTGTCACCTTCTGCAGAGCAAAGCAGAGGAATGAGTGAGGAGGGGTCAGGCCCTACCCCCTAGTTGGAGCCCTACAGATGAGAAGCACTGACTTTCTTAAAAGTCAGCACCTCCTCCAGCAAGTTCTTCACACAAAAGATCCTGGGGTGTGTGCCATATACCATGCAGATCATGAAAAGCCCCTGCCTCAGCTTATTCACCCTGGTCTAGGGCCGGCAACTACTGTCTGGTCCAGGAAGCTTCCTAACCAGGTATTTGCTACTGACAAAGGGCTGCCAGAATATTTGGTCCCAAGAAATATACCACAAAGGAAATTTTCTCCTTATGTACTGAAAGCTACATTACCTGCAGAAGCAGAACTCGGCTCCAGCACCAGCAGTACCTCCTGAGAGTCTACTGGACACCACAGTCAGTGGGCCACGTCCAGTGCTCAGCCATTACTCAACTCTCCCCAGATCAAGACTGAGGACAAAGTATCTCTCCAGTTGGTTTAACATCAAGCATTTCCTTACAGGCAAAATAAGGTCACTTTTGCATTCTGTTAGAACAGGGGCCTAGCTTTGTCCAGTTCTAGGGAGACTTCAAGCAGCTTCCTGATCTCAGAAGTAGCTTTCATTCCCAAAGTCACTGACTATACCCAGAGCATTCTTTCAGGGTAATCTGGGGGCTGAAAGGCTTGGGTCTAGGTACTATCTGTCACAGTGGGTGTTTTGTACAATAGACAATCCTGTGCTGTGGGTTGGTTGATTGACAGCCCATCACAGCGCCTCCAAGGCAGTCTAGATATGCGTGGGGATGGCTGTGTCTAACCTGTTAGATGCAAGGTGAATGCAACCCACCTGTGTGATTTGGGGTAGAACTGTCTCAGTGGCCATCATCTTCCCCAAGTTTAGAACGCCACACTGGTTGAAAGGTCCTCCTGAGAATGGACAAGATATTGAAGGTTAATGGCACAGGCAACAGAAATCTTATGTATGGGATAGGCTCTGTCACTCACTTGTTTGAGATATTTAGTCTGTCCTCAGCTGAAGCTGAGGCATGGGCCGTAAGTCCTCCAATGTGGGATCTGATGGGAAGGGAGGTTGACCAGGTGTGTTTCAAACAGAAACCTCCCTTCAGCTTCCCCAATTAACACTGACAAGGCTACCTCTCACATCTTCCCAAACTGGACCTTCAGACCTGGTAGGCCTATTAAGTAGGCCTGGAAGAGTTAGGAGAACAAAGGACTTGAAGTTGCGATAATCCGTTGGCCTTGTGGCGAACCAGTTATTCCGGTCCCCTGGCTGGATGCTGACAGGACCATCCTTCCCCGAAACTGGGGTCCGGACCACGAAGCCTCCAAGATGGGATTTGATACTGAAAAAAAGGTTAGCTGGGTGTGTTTCATTCTCATCAAAGAAACAGAGACCCAGAAAACCTCTCTTCCAGTACCACCAATGAACACAGACAAGACTACCTCGGCTTGTTCCCCAACTTGAACTTCAGACCTGGCAGGCCTGTTGAATGCAGGGTTGTACACTGGATGTTAGTCAAAGTGCTCAAGCAAGCCATTAGTTGAATGTATATCTGACAGCCATCCCTTCACATGCCCCAGTAGAGCAGACCTCCATGGCATGATCCTGAAGTTACATCACAAACAGAGAGCAGCAATACTGCAGAGACTGGCCATGGGACTTGCCACCATCTTGGGTAACCACAGAAAGGCACAGATGCCCTGAACCAAAGCTGATTCCTCCCATGGATTTAGCACAGAAATGTGCTAGGCCAGGTGACCTGTGACTTGTGTCATACATAAATTGCCCACACTCTGGTCAGCTGACAACATGATCCTTGTCTTGAACTTGGATGGCCCCATGTCAAGGAAGGACTCCAAGTAAAGAGACAACATTGAAATCTCGTCCAACACCATCATATCAGGCACACGTGTCAACAAATGCTGAGGATGCTGTCTCCAAGTCTAGCAGAGTGCAGCTGGTTTATTGTCTCTGTCCCCAAAAGTTGACATCTCTTCCAGGAAGTTCTCCAAGGGAAGGTTAGATACTGAGGGTTAGTGGACCAGGTCACAAACGGCACAAATATAGCGTGTGCTCTCTGGTCAACCACCTCACGTACCCACACAT